CTTTCATAAAAAAGTCAATTAAGTCCTTCTATAGGAGACTTTGTCCGGTCGTCGCGATTTGGGGCGGTTCCCGGTGGAATTTTTTGATGAAATTTTTTGAGCATCTTATTCATCCAGTCTAGTTTACTCATACCAAATTTCAGTTAAAAATTTAATCGGGAGCGCATTCAAATTAATTCGAGAACGCAAAAATGCGCAGTTATTTTCAAGAATTAATTTGAATGTGTTCTTGATTGAATTTTTAGCTGAAATTTGGTATGAGTAAACTAGACTTGGTGAATAAGATGCTCAAAAAATTTCATCAAAAAATTCCACCGAGAACTGCCCCAAATCGCGACGGCCGGACATAACCTCCTATAGAAGGACTTAATTGACATTTTTATGAAAGTTCGAGGACCTATTTGACAGTTATCCCAAAAAAATAAGAAAAGCAAAGAGATCACTTTAGAAGAAAGTGGATCAATCTAGCAAGAATTCTACGATGTTTTCTAGCAGAAGGATAAAATGGTCTTTTAATTAGCCAACAGTAAAATAACCCATTTCAGCTCAAAAAGTAGCCATTTACTTACTTTTTGTGATGATAAGAATAATCAAAGTAGCTCATTTAGTGAGTGTTTAGCATTTTTTTCCAACCTTCAAGCTTATAAGCCCATATTTTGTCCTCCAAACGGCCACTTAGTTTGTTTCGATTTCATTCTGTTTTATTTTGATGGGTTTGGTGTTGGTTGACCTTAGTTTCCGGTTTTATGTTCATCCTACTTTAAACTACACATTTGAGGTCAAGACTAAGATTTATAAACACTTTTCAAAATGTAAATGAAGAGAACAATAAACATATATACATAATATGCAAATCACAAAAAGGGCCGTTAGGATTTCACTACTATATATCAAAATATAGTACTCGTAGTTATTTTTAATGATATCAAGCCATTTTCACTAAAAGGGCAATTAGGATTTTACTGTAATTTTTATGAATCTAGTTTCGTTCGATTCTACTACGATTTGTACTATTTTAGTATTTTATGAGTTTATAATTTTACTTATAATTTAAATTGTTTCATTAACATGAAATTGTACAATTTTAAGATATAGGAAGATAATAAGAACATTGCCCTAGAGGCTAGAGCTGGCTCTTTCATCAATTCTAAATTTCTAATATTATTACCCGATTTAATAGAGACTTACATTGAGCTTATAGCGCTTATCAATCAATTTTTTAATCAAATTTGTAGCTTTTGAGTTCGCATTCTCGATTATGTAATAATCAAAATAATGAAGGTCAAATTACATCTTATTTCACAATTCAGAATATCCAACCACCGCTATAAGAAATTCATCAGTTGTAACGTAAGAGATCCAAATTGAGAAGTTGAGACTATGTCTAATACTCGTAGTAGACAAAAGATATCCATGATCTGAGTAACATTTCTCGTCTCGTGTTAAGTTTTTAATATGTAATGGCCATAAGTTACGGCACCAAGTTATAACTTTGTTCACAATAGTGTCACATTCATAGTTTTTTTTTAAACTAATACGGAGTATAACTGTATAAATTTGTATGATATGTTCTCAATAATATAAGAATAAAATTCAAAATTAAATGAACAGGGCAACTCTTCACGTACTAAAGAACCAAACAAGTTCAAGTTCAAACCAATGCTTTTATCTCCCTAGCTTGGATGAGAGAAATGAAACTAACATTTTTTATGCCATTCTTTTTTATTCTTTCAAACTAACAATCAACTTCAATAATGAATTTTTCCTTTTACATGTTTGTTTCCCAGCTCATTTCTTATACGTGTGTCTTAGAAATGACTAATCAATATAATGCATGAATTGTGTCCTTTTATCACATCTTTATTTTTCTTTTCTCGTTTCTCTTCTCATTTTGTTCTTCACGACATAGTAACTAAAGAAGTTATTGAATCTAACTTGTAAATGAAGCCATGAGGGATTCGCGTACTAGCAAGCAATGTGGCAACGAGTGGCTTCAAACTCAAACTTCAAACTTGGAACTTTGATTTCGAATTTCAGTCATTGTATAAGTGCTGTTAGAACTTTAAAGTTGTTCGTATAGTAGACGAGATGGTCTCACACTTTAGGATCACAAGGAATGGTGATTGAACTTAAGACATTAGACGTGTCATTTAGTAATTATCCACTTCTTCGTACTTTATAGGGTTCATATTAAACTTCTCAATTTCTCAATTTACGTGTGCATCTAATATGTGATAGTACAAAAAATTGTTTATTGCAAGTTTTAAAATATGGAAATGTGTTGATCCGAGTGTGAGTTTTTTCGACCCATAAGAATCCACCCATTTTTCCAAGTCAGAAGCCGCACATTACACAATTTGAACTGTTATCACATGTCTCGACCATGATTCATGAACCTATTTGCTCACCTTATGCAAGCAACATCGCAAGCCCTTCTAATAACACGATTGAATCAGACGAAATGGTGTACTACTATCTAAAATGGCTAAATTGATTTACTTCGTTAAATTATGGGAAATTTATATTTAGAATATATTATACTAACAAAATGAAGAAAAAATTACTCCGGGTATATGAAAATAACTTAAAATCTTAAATTGTCATCTATAGTTATTCTGCAAATTCATAAAAATAGTAGCTTCCAATTCGATTATTTAGTTATGTTGATTATTATAAAATGTGGTCATTGCACGAGATCTATATAAAAGTTATTACTTTGTACGTTTATTCCCACAAATAAGTAAGAATGTTTTTAATTTGATTGATTTCGCCTAAACTAAACTAAACTTAATCATGCTAGACCCAGGGACGTAGACAGGGGGTGGCCAAACCATGGCCCCGTCCAAATTTTAAAAATGTCTAAATTTTTAGGGTAAAAAGTTCTGTGTAAAATTTTTTCCAAACATATTTTTTGTATCGGCCAAGTCCGGCCCAGTGTCCTGGCTCCGCCCCTGGCTAGACCAGATTTCATAAGTTGTAAAATACACATGAAACAAGTATCTATGAAATGAGTCAAGATCATACTAAACCTAACTTAAATAAATCATAATATAAAATTTCAATTCAATTAAAAATATTATACGGAGTAAATGATAAGGAGTAAGTTTTTTTGAAAGTGAATCGTCTAAATTTATACGGAGTAACTTTAATTTCAAGATCATTACATTAATAGAAAAGAATTGAAATAATGGCAAAAGTACTACCACCGAGTTCTACGTGGACAACAATAAGACCGGTCTTCAATTTGGACAACAATAAGACTACACATTACCCAATTGACTAAAATACTCCCTAATTGAAAAAGGAGACCCAGGTCCCCCTGATCGATCCCAACGATCCATGCCATAAGCTCCATCCATAGATGCGACTCCTCCATGCCCGTCACCACCGTCTCCGTCCCATTACGCCGCCGCCGCCGCCGAATCCAACAACGTCCCAGGTAAGCCTCTCTTCCGGTGAAGCTAGGGTTTCTCTGCTGGCTGAACGATCGAGGATCCATGGCGACGGCCGCGACGATATCGTCTCCAACAGCTAGGGTTTCAAAATCGAGCATGGTGACGGCGATTCAGCTACGATTTTGACGTAGCGGCATGGCAGCTAGGGTTTTTTTGGCGTGGTCTGGGTTTAATTTGATGGGACTGGGGAGGGGCTGCCTGGGCGGTTGGGGAGGGGGGCTGCCTAGGCGATGCTGATCATCGCTGGGGAGGGTTGGTGGTGTGAGGTGGTTGCAGTCTTGCAGGGGTTGGGGGCGGGAGTGGTGGCCGGCAGCTGCGGCTGCGGCATTGGTCGGGAGATGCGGTTGCAGGGGATTTGGGGGTTGGGGTATGCTGAAGAAGGGATTGGGGCTTGGGATGAAGACATGTCAGGGATGCTGGCCGCCGGAGTGAGGGCGGTGGCGGGTCACCAATTCACCGGCGGTGGTGGCTAGTGGCGGTGGCCGGCAGTGGTAGCTAGTGATGGTCACTATCGGGTCGGGTTAATGCAATGGATATAGTCTAGTAAATGATGAGATCGAGTAAGTGCAACTGGTTAAATCAAATAATGTAACTGGTCCGATAACATATATTTGTAATCGGTTGTGTCAGCTAACTGTAACTTGTCGGGATTGGTAAATGCAAATGATGGTCGGGTGTAACTGATCAGGTTTGATAAATGTAACTGGTTGAGTAACTCTAACGGATCGAATTACGTAATTGTAACTGATCGGATTGAGTAACTGTAACTGGTCAAATTTGATCAATGTAACTGATTGAGTAACATTAATTGATCGGATCTAGTAACTGTAACTAGTCGAAATCCGATAGTTGTAACTGGTCGGATTTGATGAATGTAACTGGTCGGATTTGATTAAGTAACTAGTCGAAATCGGACTGATATTTAATTTTTGGTCACTGTTTGGTTTTGGACTTTTGGTCACTGGCGGTTTTTTGGTCACTAGCGGATTTTGGTCATTGATGGATTTTGGTCACTGGCGAATTTTTGGTCACTGGCGGATTTTGGTCATTGATGAATTTTGGTCACTGGAGGATTTTGTAACTATGTCATTAGTAACTGTAACATTGGTCACTGCACATTTGGTCACTGTGGCGGGTTACTGTAGCAGGCCAGTGGGGTTGGGCTTAGTAAGGGTGTAATAGTCCCTTAAGTATTATTTAATCTTATTTTTGGAACTTAAAAGAAAAGTCTTTTTTTTTGTCCAAATGCTTTTAATTAGTATTATTTGAGGACAAACCCCAAAAAGAATTGTATTGATAAACGGAACAAATAATTGCATGAAATAATTGTGAATGTTTTTTTTGTCAATTCATACACGGGTTACAGACATTGTAGTATTGTACAGTGTACACCAGTAAAGGTTGATTGCTCAGCACTTCACTGCAGTTTCAAAACTAAACAACTGAAACCATTTGACCTCCCGTAACTGCAGTCAATCTTTGTACTCGGTTAGTTTACGGGCAGCTGACTATATGTCGTCGATTTCCGCGGCAGGAGATTCCGACGAGCGAACACCGCTTATCCTGAGCTCATCGGAAGAACAGGCAATAGGTCCGCTCAAAAACGATCCAGAAATCATCATTTTAACTACTGAAGCGAGACCTCTGCCTTCAAGTGATTCAAAGGAACGTCTAGTATCCATCGATGTCTTTAGAGGCTTCACCGTGGCCGTAAGTCAACTTCTAACAGTTTTTAATGTCTCGTGTTCGCAATTTTTGCTCAGCGCCATTTCTCAATTTAGCATTTCTGTGTTTTGATTTTGACTCCATTTGGCGATTCGTTAGCTGATGGTTTTGGTTGATGACGCCGGAAAAGCATTTCCGACTATAAATCACTCTCCTTGGGTTGGTGTAACACTCGCGGACTTTGTGATGCCATTTTTCCTCTTTGTTGTTGGGCTTTCAGTGAGTCTTGTTTTCAAGGTATGATAGTATTCATGACTGTTAATGATATCGTTTTATTCCTTTATCTATATGAGCTGTAGTTTGTCTTTCTCTAATTGAGTGATTGTTGTTAGCATTTTCATGTACTGCTGTTTCTATCTGATGCAGAAAGTTTCTAGCAAATCAACGGCAACAAAGAAAGTTTTGTGGAGGTCGGTTAAGCTTTTTCTTTTTGGTGTCATTCTTCAAGGTATGCAGCACTGTGTTCCCCAACATCCATATACAGATGCACACACATGAAGAGGAAGGAGGTGTGTGCAAACTATTTTTTTTGCTTCTAACTACATAGTAAATGGGTTGTTGGTTATATGTGGTTAGGTGGGTACTTTCATGGGCGAGGCGATCTAAGTTATGGAGTTGATATAGAGAGGATTAGGTTGATGGGCGTGTTACAGGTACTCCAACATAGCTAATTCTTGAAGAGGCACTAAAGAAAACGTGACATAAGTACATAACATAAAACAAATTCCTTCTCTTGTTATTGTTCTCATTGTTCGAATTCAAAAATTTTGTATAGAGGATTTCAATTGGATATCTCCTCTCATCATTACTGGAGATTTGGCTTGTTAGCAACATTCCTGCTGAGTCACCAATGAAATTTGTGAGGAGATACTGGTGGCAGGGGTAAGCACTTCTTTGGTTTCAGTCAGGTCATGTTTGATTTTTGTATGAAGTACTTCTTTCTTCATCCTGATCCTGTACTGATATGTATCAATAGTGCACTTCTAAATTTGGTTTTTGTAAGCATGACAAAATTTGATTTAGGGGGGTGGGTAGCAGTGGCTCCTTTGAGGCAGTAATGATATGTTTTAGGATTTGTGGGAGAAAGATTTATTTTGGTCTATTTTTGCAATCTCATGTGCTTATTCAGAACATCAATTTGCAGTCTGGTTGCATTTGTACTTGGTATATTGTACATGGGCTTACTATATGGCCTCTACGTTCCAGACTGGGAATTTGGAGTAGATAGACTCAACAGCAGCTCAGTGGTACCACAGTATACATCATGTGCAGAAACTGTGAGTCAAATGCTTTCTGAAGCTTTATCCACTATATTCTGGATATTAATAGTTCGCTTGTAGTAGTATTGATTGGCAAAGTAAATTAATATGGATCGTTGTTCTTTTCTTCCTTAGGACATTTTCTCTTTACCCGAAATTTATGATCTAATCTGAAAATTTAAGATCTTGTTTGGTTTTTCTCTTCTTAATCTTCCTGATATGATCATATAATGGATTGTTTTGGTTCAGTAAGAGTTAATGTTTTTGATACGATATATTTTGGTCTCATTTAATTAGCATGAGACTAAGTAGTACTTTCAAAAATTATGTTGAAGATTTGATAGTTGATAGTATTACTCAGCACTCACTATTTGTTCATACTTGACACTTGGCAGTATGAATTGGCAAATTCTCTGACAACGGAAAAATTCAAGCAGTTGTGTGAACTTGCAAATCATTTATTTACCTTTTAACGCTTGAGATTTGCTAGGTTATGACTTAAGAAATAAGATTATATTGTATTTTGTTCAAGGCTCAAGGGATTATCAAATACACAGTGTTTGAAAAAAAGCATATGATTATTGAATTCCCGCAAGCCTAACATAAGTCTTACCAGGTTCATTGTAGTGTTCAAGGAAGTCTGAAACCTCCATGCAATGCGGTTGGCTTCATTGATAGACTTATCCTTGGTGAAAATCATCTATATCAACACCCTGTCTATAGAAGAACCAAGGTATTCAACAATTCATCTTTTTGTGCTGCACTGCTGCTTTTTCTTTGTGGGACTCCTGTGTCATTACACTTTTGCTAATCCAATTTTTCTTAGTAGGAATGTAGTATCAATTCTCCTGATTATGGACCGTTGCCTCAAAATGCGCCTGAATGGTGTCTTGCTCCATTTGATCCTGAGGGTATTTTGAGGTCAGATATGCTCTCTTATTTACTTAATAAACCTCACCTGTACTCTCCATTTACTAGATTATTTTCCATTACTTCTTTTGTGCTCCTTTGTCCCTCTATGGATTTATTTGTTGTTAACTCATTTGGTGTTACCATAAAGGATACATTTTTTTTATACAGAACACATTTTTATTCCTTTTAGCTGGTGTAGCGATTTAGAAAGAGAAAATTCCTTATATAGGACTAAAACATAAGCAAAATGCACATATAGGATTATCAATGTTTTCTTCCTAAAATACGGCTTATTCACTCCTAATAGGGGAAATTTTATACTTTTAATAGGATCAAACAAGTCATATTTCGGGAATAAAATACATGTAGTCGTATTTGTGGATTTTGTCTAAATTTTAGTCCTAATTAGAGCAATTTCTAATTTAGAAAGCTTCATTTTGGCCAAATTATTCAACAACTCAAATTTGAGTTTTTTTTTTCAATTTTTTCTTCACTGCTTTTAATTAAATGTTTTCAGTTCTTTGATGGCGGCCATAACCTGTCTTGTTGGATTACATTATGGACACATTCTTGTTAAAGTGAAGGTAAGATGTACTCTTCTGTGTTTCGGTTGATTTTAAACCAAGTTAAATTTTGACATTAATTTGTTGTACATCTTTCCATCACATATGTTTGTTCTTCTGGTGCAGGGTCACATGCAAAGGCTAATACTTTGGTCCGTGTTCTCCTTCCCTCTACTGATTATTGGGTTTTTGTTGGTGGTAGTAGGTAATGCTGCGTGTATTTAACATGCATTTGTATTTAGTGTAACATTAATTAATGTCTGGAGATATATATCCATTTTTTCAGGGGTTCCTCTTTCTAAACCACTCTACACATTGAGCTATATGTTCATCACAGCAGGAGCTTCAGGCGTTGCTTTCACCATCATATATTATGTTGTGAGTGTACAGACATTGAATGCCATTCCTGTCTTATAAGGGAAACCGTATAGTTAGGTCACAGGTCATGAATATGGGTTTTAATACTCAACTTAGCTGGTGAGGTTAATAGCAAAGTTTAACTACATGGTTCAGGTGGATGTGATTTGTTTGAGGAAGCCTGTGGTTATATTTCAGTGGATGGGAATGAATGCTCTTATGATCTATGCATTAGCTGCTTGCGATCTCTTTCCTGCAGCACTCCAAGGTCTCTATTGGCGTTCACCTAAAAACAATCTGGTTGGTTTCTCGTTCCGTTGAAGTCTTGCTCAATAACAATATTCTCTCTCTATCCCTCATTTTTATCACTCTTCAGCATTTCTCTTTGACAATTTTTTGCCACAACCCTAATCCTGAAAAACATATTATTAATGGAGCATATACTGGATCAATTTGTAAACAAAATATAGGCTGAGAAGGCTAGCCAAGCCTAGGCAATGACAATGCAGTGTCTACATTTCTATGTAGCATTAGCATAAAATTCATTATTCTCCATCATTTGCAATGGAGCCAAAGATTCACTATATTTTGGCTTGAAAATATGATGGAATAAAGCAATGTGGCTCACTAAATTGTCTATGCTTTTTTGTTATGAAGTAGCAGTCAGTCTATGCAATTTTGGACGCGATTTTCACTATAGGTCATCCGGAAACAGTCTCTCTGTGCTTTTTAGTATATGGGTTAGACTGCGTACATCCAACCCCCCTACCCTACCGTAGGTGGGAGCCTTTGCGGCACTGGGGTAATGATAATGATGATACAATTCATCTGGTAATGGTCACACGTTTAATTATTATCATCCAAGTGAATATATTCCACTTATGAATATTTCCCTAAAATGTATAGTTTTGATGTCTCCATAGAATTACTCTTCTTTTTAAATGGTATGACATTCCCCATCAAACAAATATTGAAATACAAACGTCATAGAGTAGAGCGAGTCTTTTTTAAAATCAGATTAGAAATGGTTTTTCTATTTTACGTTCTGAGTGTATGTTCGACCCATAAATTCCATGGTATGCAGGTTGACAGCTCAGAGAGATTACTGCAAGGATTGTTTCATTCAGAGAAGTGGGGTACCCTGGCTTTTGTGATGCTGGAGATTCTGTTTTGGGGCATGGTAGCTGGATTCTTGCACTTGAAAAGGCTGTATATTAAACTGTAATAATGAGACTTCTAATTTCTCCTTGTTGAGGAATAGCCATTAAGAATTACGCGCAGCTAGTGAAACAAGCAGAAGATTCAGAAGGTGCTTAATTAAATATTCTGTTTGGATGCAATGATTAGATGCACAGGTCGCCTTTTCAAAGTGCATAGAGTATCCTCTTGTGAGTGTGTTTGTAAAAAAACAAAATGTATATATCACTATAGTTTTTCAGAAAAATTGTTGTAAATTGTACTGAAAACACCAGACGACAGGATTTGTTCTCACCCGCCTTTCCATCTTCATGTGGCAACAAAATATATGTAAATATGTAGAAATGCTCAGATCCCTCCGGAGGGACGGGAGAAGCCGTCCGAACTTCACTGTTTGGGGCGGTTCGCGATGGAATTTTTCGATGAAATTTTTTGAGCATGTTCCTCATCAAGTCTAGTTTGTCCATACCAAATGTCAGCTCCAAATTCGACCGGGAAGGCAGTCAAATAAATTCTTGAAGCTTACTGCACTTTCTGCGCATATATAAAGTGCAGCAAGTTTCAAGAATTTATTTCACTGCCTTCCCGGTCGAAATTTGAGCTGAAATTTGGTATAGACAAACTAGACTTGATGAGGAACATGCTCAAAAAATTTCATCGAAAAATTCCACCGGAAACCGCCTCAAACAGTGAAGTTCGGACGGCTCCTCCCGTCCCTCCGGCTGGACCTGAGCAGTCCTCTATAAATATGTACTATGTAGTATAGTATGCTATTTTATGGTATGGGTCCAAGACTCCAAGAGAAATAAACTGCTGGTACTAGCGAGAAGTAAATGCATCATTGTTGGAAACGCTCTAATCAAACATGAAGGTTCATTGTGGGTAAATGTATTGCTGTAGAATTTCTCATCTTTACTTTTTTCAAACCATCTGCATGTATAAATAAATTACAAAAATAAAAACCACTCTTCCCTCCCCTTCAGGACCATTAAACCAAATAATGGCTTAATGTTCTTGTTCAAAAGACATGAACCCATATGCTCCAAGACTTTTCCAAGTTTCGAAAAGTTTTAGTGGAATAGACCTTGTTCAAAATATGGAGTTTTGACGTCTATATTGTATGGTGTCTTTAGAAGAATTCACTTGCGTGGAGACATGGTGTCTGTAAATGTATAAAACGAAAACATCCACACCTTTAAAGTGTGAACTATAAAATTTGTAATTCTCAATAGAATATGCCATAGTACTACTCAATGGTGTATCCATTTTTTGGACATTTAAAGATGTTTCAAGCTTCAGAAGTAAAGGAATATGTAATTAAAACTTTCTAAAACTACTTCAAAGCCCTTTTTTTTTTGCAAACATACTACTTGGCTTGTATTAATACTCTAATATAATCAAAGTTTAGAGCTCAAAGAATACAATGAGGGACAGTACACCAAGATTGACAGTCATACAAAGAAACAACTGCTTTTTTGGCAACACGATTCGCGGACCGTCTTAGACTCTTAGTGTCTTACAAAAGAGATACAAATGCTTTTAAAAAAGTAATAAATTCTTAATATCATCCACAACTATGCCAACAAAAGAGGATCCTCCATTCGAATTAATATTCGAGACAACCTGGAGGTGTCTGACTCTATGTCAAAGTTTTAATGCCTTCAATTACCATCAGTGAGGACTTGCCCCATCATGCACAAAAGTTAATACTTTATTAATAAATTTTATTATCAGAATCACCTTATAACATGTAAATTTTAGGGGTGGGCACGGTCCGGTCCGGTGCAATATTTGGCCGAACACATACCCGTACCGTTACTATTGAAACGGTTCGGTACGGTTCGGTCTTAGACCCAAACCCGTTCGGTACGGTCCATTTTCAAACGGGACGGTACCATGCCATACCAATACCAAACAATGCCACTTTTTCCAGGTGTTTAAGAAAAAATTAAAGTTTAGCCATCCCCCAAAAAATCCACACAGTTTATCAATTTTCATATATCATACTACCTTTGTTCCAAATTGATTTGCAAAGTCAATCTTTTTTTGGTCAAACAATTTCTTTTTATTCACTTAATTAGAATTTCACTTTTTAATTATATTCTAATTTGCAACTTTAGAAAGATTTTAATGTGATTTCTAAATATGTAAATTTTAATTATTAAAAATTGTATTAATTATCAAGAACTTAACATCAATTTTGACAAAAAAATGTTGGCTTTGCAAATCATTTTGGTACGGATGAGGTAATTAATGTATTTTAGATAAACTATAGTAGTACAAATTTAATGAACCATACTTCGGTCCGGTTCAGTCCGGTACCGGTTCTCATTTTATGAGAACCGATCATCAGGCCCGGTCCTGAAAAATAGGAGGCCCTGTTCAAAATAATATTGGAGGCCCTTATATTTAATACAAAAAATAATTACTTATACTCCGTAACTAAATCTCTTTTCAACTAAATTACTATTCACATTACAATAAAAAATATTCCAATTTCTTGCATAAAATATATCCAAGCAAAACGTTTATCAACATGAGCATGAACAACATTATTAGCATTAAGATTATTTTGTGGTTCTTTTTGTAGCAAAATTTTCTAAAATTCCTTTTTGAGATAAAATTAACTCTTCTGTTCTCTTTCTATTCTTACTTTTTCATGTCCGGATTCATATTTTCTAGTTTTAGGCATTATAATTTACAAAATGTAAAAGAATAAGGAATCCAAAAATAACATTTGCAAATAATGACATAATCAATTAAAAGACAAATGATAGGACAACAAAAGAAGAGCGATGAAATACAGTACTGTAGAACACCCAATAACAGTCATGTCCGCCTCTAGCCATCTGCGGCAGTGCAGTCTACCGAAGAGATCAAGCAATCGTCAAATTAGAATAATGGAGTTTGGATGGAATTGGGTATTCGGATTATTTGAAATTCTAAAATTCAGAATCGAATGAGATTTCTCATATTCATAGCGCATTGTTGCCTTTGTTGGATTACTTGGGTATTTATTATCGCTAAAACCTATAGATGAAAAATTACATTTTATACTAGCATACCGTTCAATCTCTCTGGTCTGCTCGAAATCGCTGGGCATGCCGCTTCATTTCTCCGAGAAAAGTACAGATAACGAGGAGTCAAGGTCTCGAGGACTCCCCGCCCGTTGCTACTTACGCGGATGCTCAATAGAGAAGGCGCGCTTCTCAATAATACGATGGGATTGGGCTGCTGGCTTACTTCGTATTTGATAAAAATCCTAACGGGCCTAGGTATATGATAAAAAATGGAGGCCCTTCTTGAATAGGAGGCCCGGTGCAATTGCACCTCTTGCACCTGGGCCGGGCCGGGCCTGCCGATCATGACATTGTTTGGAACCGGTTCGGACCAGTTCGGGACAAAAAATTTTGAGATCCGTTTCAAACCCCGTTTATCGGTCCGGTACCATACCGGTCCGGTTCGGCATCATGCCGGTTCAGTATTTTTGCCCACCCCTAGTAAATGTTCTTAAGAAATCTTGCCAGCAAAACCAAATTACTACCATTTGCCATTGCTACAACCAACCACATGCGTCACAGCCATGTAAGAATAGATACACATCAAAACTTACTATGAGGGCACCAGTTAACCTGGATTATTAGTTGAAAAGGATCAGAGGATGAGTATGAAAGAAGATAAACCAAACATTGAACTAGAGGCATTGTAAAGGGTAAGAATTAGAAATAAGACATTTTGTATTACATGATGATGTGATATGTATCTATTGTGTTACCGTTCATATTGTGAAACAAATTGGAAAATGGAGACACTAATTAATACATAATACAAGTAACAGAAACACCATTTCATCAAGTCAGGCCAGACCAATGACCACTTGATCAAGGAGTAAGATCAATGAATAAAAACTTGAGATCAAAAGGTTCACTTGGGGTGAGAGCTTGATATCAAATGATATCCGTTCATTTCGGGTGACTCTTTGTAAACGATAGCCGGGTGGTTCTCACTTTGCTTATGAAAGTGGTGCACAAAGAGGATTGCCAGATGAATAAAACTGGAAAGCATTCAGTTCACTGGTTTTATGGCTAGAGTGATTTTTTCTCGAGAACCCAATTTTCTATCATGGCTTGAGAGTGCAGAGACTGATCCGTAGGGACCAAATGGCCAGCAGCCAAAACAACAACATGGGTCAAATTCCCATAGCTCTGCACATATCCAGCTAGCTCTTCATTCACCTTCCAAATATTTCTTTCGGCAGCCAAGAAGTCTTTGAGCCCTTCCCACCGCATTGTCTTGATCCATGCCTCCGTCGACACCACCCCATCCCTCAAGTCACACTGCCCTTGGTACAACAAAACCTTAATGTTCTTAACCAAGAACTCCACCATCTCTCTGACACTCTTCATCACATCCGAGTGCAAAGCCTCGCCCACCACATCACTGCACGTTTCAAAAGTGATATCTTCCTTCGCTTTTAACAATTTTTTAATCTCCTGGTTGTTCAAGAAATCAGCCACCATTGCGTCTTCGTAAGGAGTTTTCCTTCTGAAGTCATAGAGTGTTGCCAGTCCAGTCATGTCATGCAATGTACTCAAGACTTTAGACCTAGCACTTGTCGCCTCGCTCCAATTCCCTGTTTCAGTCAGACTGATGGCCACCTTTTGAAGTTTCTCCAATTCAGTCTTCTGCTTGCCGTTGATTAACCCTAAATTATATGCATTTACAGCATGAGTGGCCACTTGAGCTACCGGGTGAGTCAGGCCATTCCCTATAGCTACACCCGCCAGATTCATCCTGCTTGACATCGGCAAACCGGAGTTCCTTTTCAGGATATGATACCCGATCGCCGGGACATATTTCCCGGCGTAACTCTCACCGGAGATATAAATCGGCCGTGTCCTGAACGAAGCGGCGTCCAACGCTATGAACTTTTTGATCGCGATGAAGAGATGTCTGGCGACATCGCGTTGGTTCCTGGGGATCTCTTCGGGAGATGCGGATATGCTAAACCCTACTCCGATAGGGTTATCGAGGAAAAGTAACCCGAACCTTTGATTCCAGGATCCGGGATTCGGAACTAACGAGATCGGTCCTGTTTTCCTCGACACTCGCCAAGGACCTAGCTCGTAGAAGTTCCCGATCATGGAGGAGCAGCCGGGACCGCCTTGAAGCCATATCAGTATTGGAGTCTGAGAGTGAGTGGAAATCGGGTTCCTGGCTTCGTAGAATGCGTAGAAAATGGCGGAGCCGGTCGTTGAGTTGACCGTGAGGTACCCTGATTTGGCGGGAAGGCCTTCTTGAGGAAAGGGTGAATCAGCAAGTGATGTGGAAGAGAAGTATCCAGACGTAAAAGTAACTATGAAGTAGAAGACATTGAGCATGATATAATGGAGATTGGTGGTTGAAAATGATGAAGAAGCCATAGCTAGTGTAGTAGTGTGGATGCTGAAAGCTGAAAATATAAATGGGAAAGCTGAGAGATAGTTCAAAAATGTACTTCAAAGTTCAAACTTCACTAATTTTTTGGTAAAGCATTTGTTGTTTCCCGTGGACTAGTTGTCAATTTCTAATAATCCATTCCCAATTTGACTCTCTCAAAGTCTCAAACAATCCCATACATAAAATTGTAGCACAAAAATCGGCTGATATGACTGATTTTGTTGAAATTTATGAAATTCTGGCTGAAGTGACTGCATTAGCTGATTCTGTTGATTTAAGAAAAAATTATTTTTAAAATATATATTATTGATAAAATAAAGAAAAAAATTTATGTAAAAATAACTTAAATGATCATCTACAGTAACTTCAGCCAAAACAGCCAGAAAAGTAACTTCAATCTTACTTTTTCTACTTATTACACAATTCATCGCGAGAAAGTAAAAGTTACATGTTTGGTAAAAAAGTTGTCCGATAAGCCTGATAAGCCGAAAAATAGTGGTTCCAAACGGCCTCTTATGGTATTATCATAACTTAGCTTTTTAAGTTATAAAAAGTTGGGATGATATTTTGTACCCGATGAGTCTCTCTAGGGCTTTACCGCCACTAGGGTTGTCTTCATCCGTTATCGTCTCTTCGACGAGGAACGGTTGTTGTCGGCCGCTACTTCGGCTTCGGCTTGGAGGTTGCAACACAAATCAACCAGGGAAGTGTTTTTTGAAGTTGTTCTGTTCGCCGGTTTTCATCGAGGAAGACGAGTAGGGCAGTGGAAGCTGAATCGAGTCGATGCCAAGACTTGCTGCATGGAAAATATCGTCAATCTGTACGACTGTACCGCAAGATGACGTCGAGTGTTGGAAAATTAGGAGTATTTCAAATGAATAAAATATCCTTTTCTTATTTATTTTTTCACATACTAATTTAATAATAAATCTTTATACATCTTAAATATACATTCCATTTTTATGTCTTCATATAAATATTATGCCTATAAATTAAACGTTATGTTTGAACATAATCTTGAAGGAGGATTAAATGTGGATTACTAATTATTACAATAAATATGCATTATTGAGCATTATCCTTTGGGCCGACTAATATACTTTTAGCTCTCTTAGTGATTATTTTGCAGATCAATCATCGGAGCTAGATGGTCAATGAGGTCAACCTGGGAACAACACGGTCAACACGTTGATTTCGGAGGGATAGAGCCAACAATCTAAGGAATTAACGGCGAATAAAAATTACACCTACGGAACAGTCAACGTGGTTGATACACCTCCTGTGACTAGTGACGCAAAAAGTATGGCTACATTTCTAGCTCCGCCAATGGTTAAATTTACGGTATGTTTTTTTTTCATAGCTTTTGTTCAAAAAAAAAAAAAATCATTTTTTGGATTATGAAAGTTTTTGGGGAAATCCACCAAAATAAAGTGTAAACTTTGTTGGCGGTGATGATATAATTGGTGCGATTATTTTTTCAAATTGACGAGTGATGTGGGAATGAATAGACGATAGATTTTGAGGCTACCAAATTCATTTGTGAATACAAAAGTGTTTTCCTCCTATTGTCTAATAGGAGATGGGCCGGAAAAATAGAGAATTTGTTGAAACTCACATCAGAAAAAATTGTTACCTTTAAATGACGTATTTAAAAAGTTTGAATTTTGAATAAGTTGTGGTTAGAGTTATTTTTATATGTGATAAAATTATTATGACTATTGAAAACAAAAATATTAATAATAAATTTGTGAAATGTATGGTGAACTATATAAATTTTATTAATATTAATTTTACGATGACATGAGGTGGTAAAAGACTATTGTCAAAATGGATGTCATACATTGTATATGTTTAGTTTTCTAAAGTAATGGCTTGTTTTAAAAAAAATATTAAATTGCCCGTATCTGTTGGCTGTATTTGTAAATTTCTATTGTTTATTATTATTATAGTGTCATATTTAATATTTAAAAATTCTTTGAATCCTTGCTATTAATTTTAATTTAATTGTGATTGTTGAAAATTGAGAACTGCATCGGTTATCGTTAATTAATTTGCATGCTGTTGCAGAAATCAATTTTGGTGTATACATGGTTGAGTGGTGCACTCAGACCTCTTTGATTACATTTTGTCATTGGAGAGTCTTCTTTATCTTTATATTTAAAAATTAATTGAAGTACGTATTTTTGCATGCAATTGTGAATATAAGTTGAGAATCAAACTGTGCTGAATAGGTCTTAGTTATTGCAAAGATTTTGTCCACATTATAACATTCTGTTAGGAGCTTTTAAGTGGAATGATCTTATTATCTTTATTATCACAATTTTAATTGTCTAATGTACGAATTTTTTGTGCATGCATACCCGGTATGTAGTTTTGGATGACTATAATTTTGAACCATTTCTTTTATATGAGAATTGTCTATGAACCTAATTTTTAAAATATTTAAAATGTGGGGGTGCTTAGCTAAAATTTTATTACTTGCTATAAAGAGAGAAAATAAATTTCTTGGTATAGTAGACGAGAAATCCTTTTGTGAAGGGAAAAGTTATATTATTTGAAACGTATATTTGGTGAAAATTGATTTTGACGTGGATCATCATTTTTTATGTGTGGTTCTAATTGTGTTGTTATGCTTATTAGCTACCTTGAGTTAATAAATGGCTTATATAATTTTTGTTGTTTATTCATATGTTAAAATAGTGGAGCACATAGTTTTCTTATACTAAAGAAACAGTGTGCTTGTGTGTGTGTGATGCTTTAAGCTACATTATTTTTTAGATTCATGTGATGAATTTTGAGGAAAAAAAAATGTGTATACCCTAAATGATGCATGTGAGATTATTGTTTTATGTGTTGCTAGAGTTTTTTTATATATGCTTATTTCAATAGCTATATTGAGTTGATAAATGATATATGAAATAAATAAATGTATTTTGAGTATTAAAGCTATAAGGAGGAATGACGTTATTTTACTATCATTATATTGAGATACTTCTTAAGAAGTTTGGCATTTGAGTGTTAATAATGTGAATATCCCTTATGACTTTAATAGAATTTTAAAAATAAAACACAAAGATGTGATTCTGAGGCTTAATATGTAAATTGTGAGATTGTTACAATTAACGAAATGTATGAGACTCGTCATAATTTAAAATGTTGAAAGATTGAGTTACCTTAAAAAGATATTGAGAGATACTTTATAGAGATTATGTGTTGTAATATATTGATACAATAGTGATATGTTTTATTGAGAAATATCAATTGTACTAGAGCGGTACAGTGATGTTATATGAGAATAATCCATTGTACTATAATGATACAATGATGTACTAGATGATCACATCGATTTTATTTCTTATTGAGGGATATCCGTTGTATTGCCGGGATACAACGATGACATCTGAGTCGACTCACATGAGATAAAATAGTGGATATCCATTCACCCTTAAAAGTGGTGCAATGATGTTTGAGAATGGAATTATTCCATTAATTTTGTGAAGTTAAAAGGAATTAGCTACTCCTTTTGATAGAATCCCTAGGACGTTAAATGATAAATTTAAACATCGAGGGAAATGGACTAATGTCACTTTGACAACAAATAGGGATGGGAACCCAACTTGTGTGATTGGAGATCCCATGAAGCAAGTTCAAATGGGTAATAACAAGTCTTCTATTTGTTCTGTTAGCCTTGTAAAATGTCCATTTCTATGGTGTGGAAGGCTAGGCTGCATTTGTTTGTGAGGTTGAGCTAAAGCTCTTAATGATTGTCATAGCCCTTACGGGTGGTGTGTTAAGTGCGGGACACACTTGATGAGGTCACCTATATGAGTGAGAGGTGGGGCCGCCTCTATGAAGCATTGACAACGTTTCTAGAGCACTCAAGAAAACCAAGCACGCGCAAGGCCTAGAGGCGCACAACAGCGTTAACAACGAGAAAGGTGGGGGTGAAAAATGATCCCCTAAGACACTGACTTACCAAAGTAGTTTATTGGTTCTAGAAACTATACGTTTCACCAATAACCTCGGTATTTAAAGACTTAGGCGTCTAGGTTTGGTTCAAGTCTACGGACACCAGATTGAAAAACTTCACCCCATATGTGAACCCAGTAAGGAATTGCTATTTGTAAATACTTAAAAAAAAAATCATTTGAAATATGTGGGGGATTGTTGGAAAATTAGGAGTATTTCAAATGAATAAAATATCCTTTTCTTATTTATTTTTTCACATACTAATTTAATAATAAATCTTTATACATCTTAAATATACATTCCATTTTTATGTCTTCATATAAATATTATGCCTATAAATTAAACGTTATGTTTGAACATAATCTTGAAGGAGGATTAAATGTGGATTACTAATTATTACAATAAATATGCATTATTGAGCATTATCCTTTGAGCCGACTAATATACTTTTAGCTCTCTTAGTGATTATTTTGCAGATCAATCATCGGAGCTAGATGGTCAATGAGGTCAACCTGGGAACAACACGGTCAACACGTTGATTTCGGAGGGATAGAGCCAACATTGAGGAGGAGGAGGTGAAGCTGGATTGCGACGAGGTTGACACCGGAGAGGTTTCCATGGAGGAGGTTCGGCCGGGCTTCCCCGTGGTGGGTGGACCGGTAACGGATAGGAAAATCAATTTCTCAGTTTTCAAGAAGATGATGATTTCACTATGGAGGCTGGGGAGGGACGTGGAGATCAAGGAAATCGATGACAAAAGGTATATTTTTACTTTTAATCATCCAATTGATATGAAACATGTGCTTGATGGGGGTCCATGGCAGTTTGAGAGAAATTTACTGATTGTGAAAGAAATTAAACCTACTGATATTCCGCACAAGATCTGTCTGAATGAGGCAAAATTTTGGGTGCACGTTCACAATGTTCCTTATTGCTTAATGAATTTAGGCACTGCAAGAAGAGTGGGTAATTTTCTGGGTAGATTTATTAGTTATGATAAGAATCAGTTTAGAGAAAAGTGGAAGTCCTACCTGCGTGTCAGGGTTTGCATTAATGCGGAAAATCCTCTGAAAAAAGGCATAACTCTGAAAAAAGAATGTATTGGGTATTGGGTGGATTTTCAATATGAGAAGCTGCCAA